ATTGTATTAGTAATAAATAAATGAATAAATAAATAAAAAATTTCCAAAATTGATTAGTTATTTTTTAAAATCTAATCATTTACTTTTTAATTAATTTTATTAATAATTTTTAATTAATAATATGAGTATTTTTATCATTAAACATACATCATAATTATATAATAAAATTTGTATAATAATATAAATATAGTAGTAATGTAGATACATCTATTAAGTGTTATTTTATTCAAAATATTGAAAGTTTTCATTATTAAATTCATTAATTTTATTAACAATTTGTTTTTTTTATTTAGATATGTTAATACGTACTCAAAAGAAATGTAATGAATTTTATCATTAAACGAAAATGCAAACGAAAATGAATAAAAAAAACTAAAATTTTAAAAAAAGAAATAGCTGTTTTAAATATAAGGGAGAAGTTTCGAATGGAGCGCGATGATTTGGTCAGTTTCTGCGTCGTTTCTTCTGTCTCTAGTGCAGTGTTATCGGCTTGTTATCGTCGCGCAACACGTGTCAATATAGGCGCGCATTGGCCGCAACCGCTGGGTGCATTCACCGACACATGCGCACATTAGCTGAACAAAACTCTTCATAAACCGGCGGGAACATGTTACTCATGACTCAGTGTACATGATGCCACGGCTTGGCCGCGATAGACCACGCATTACGGTTATAACCCTTTCCTTTTTTCGTTTTTTTATGGTATTACCACAACCGTTTTCATCATCAAAATTTCTTGACAGATAGATCATATACATAACCTTTCTTTCTCATTCGCGATATGATATTCAGTGTTGTGTTATAACAAAGAAACGCGATCGATGTATCAATTCAGCAACATTCTCCCTCATCGAGATAAAATATTCTTTTTTAATCAAAAAAATCGGAGGAACAAATAAAAAACGACGCAGAATATTTTTGGGAAAGGAATGATCGTTCGTCTAATCATAGAAAAACAACAAAAGATTAAGGAAGATTGCCTATCCGACGAACACGGTGAGTGATTGTTTTTGTTTTGATCGTTGTGAAACACGTGCGTATCGGCAAGTGTCAGTATAGTCTGCAACAAAGCGGTATTATATATAGCTATGGTGGCAATTTATTTGTATATATTATTAGACGCAGTTCAAAAATTATTTTAAGAAAACTGATGTAATATCTGATGGTGGCTATGAAATATGAAGCGCATTTAATACGACGATAGTGATAAGGCTAAAGACAAACACCTTTCTGATTCGCAATTCGCAATGAAATGAAATGAAAGAGAGAAAGAAAAGATGAAGTTAAATAAAGAATCGACGAGAAGAAAATAGGTGCCTTGTTCGAGCGCTATCAAATTTAAATTATACGTCGATTGACGTGTTTGTGTCACACACTCACTCATGTCAATCGTCTCATGCTGGTAAACAGAGCTATAATCTATCTCATTTATGAAAACATTTAAAAATTATATTCATATTTTTTTTTTATAGAAGTTTCTTATTTTTTCATCTTGTTTCCTTTTCTTCGAAATTTGTTGACGTAGTACCACCCCTGCGTCACAACGGCCCAAAATTATTCTTCCCAGTAACACAAACGCGTGGCAATCACGGAGTTGCGCACTTCTTTCATGGCGCTGTGCCAATTTCAAAGTTCAGGTACTCGAGATCGCAGCATGTATAGGGTGTTTCTTTATTGATACTGATATTTTATATATAAATATATGATAGATTTAATTAATAAAAAGAAAAATATATATATTAAATTTTTCACTTCAATTTGTCATTTATATTTTTTATATTTTTTATATATTATTTATATATATCTTTTATTTTCAGAATATTTTTAATCATGTTTGAGTTCGCCTAACATCATATTTTTTCTATTTTTTATTTACTATATGAAAATTTAAAATTCTCGAAAACACCACTCCCACAAATTATTGTAATATTTCAATATTAATTAATAATTAATATATTAAATAATAATTCAATATTAATGTAATATTACAATAAAATTTTATCTGAAAAAAATCACAAATATGAATTACCAGTAAGCAAGAAATTCAATTATTCAAAATTTGAAAATTAATTATCAGCAAAGCAATAAAATTTCAAATAGATTTGTATCATAAATTAAAAGGAACTTTTAAAAGATTAACATTCAGGTAGATCCCTTCACTATTATCTGGTTAAAATTAAGCGCTCCATTCAGCATAATAATATTGTTTCAAATCTCATTAACTGAATAAGTCACGCTGAGGATTCTTGTGTTGCAGTATGATTTGAGTATGAGCAACAACGAATGAACAGAAAAACAATGAATAAGTGAATTAATCAATGAACTTGTTACATATCGATGAAGCATGGAGTTCCGTCTTTCCAAGTTATCTGTAAACGGATAATTCATTGAAAATCCTGTAACGCAAGATGTTGACAAAAAAATCCATTAATTCGCACATCAAATAACACCAAACACAAAATCTGCATTTAAAATTAATCCTTTTTCTCTTTCTTATTCAAATTAATTCCAAAACTCGTTTTTACCTCAAAATCATATTATTAACTTGGAATTGATATACTCTAATACGAAGATATTGCTGATAAAAATTTTACATAATGTGATATAATTTATATATTTCTATATAATTAAAAATCTATATACATCGAATTTATTTCATCAAATAATATGGATAATATATATATACACATTATATACAAGAATTCGTATTCAACGAACATTATCGCTATTAATAAAAATAAACTAATGTTTATAGATTATGATTATATCGATATATATCGTGTATTCATCGACAAGTAAATATTTTCTTTTTTTTTTATAAAAACAGAGACACAGATGGTAATAAAACCGATTAATCATCTCTAATGTGTTTCCTGGTTTGAAAATATATTTTCGACATTTTTATCAAGGTTTATTTTATCAGACGGCCTTTGATGGATAAAAATGATTCATTATTAAAAGATTTGATAAGATATCAATCTTATACAACTTTTGTCAGTCGAAGAACATTCATCCTTGGTGTTTTAATCGATCGTACATATCAACTTTTCTGCTGATCCTTGCATAAACATTGTTAAATGCTTCGATTTATAAAGTATGTTTTATCGTTGCAACGTGACTAAGAACAGAAATGCATAATGCGGAAATTCTGTAATACCACATATCGAGCAATATCAATTTATAGAAAAAAAATATTCATATCATATTAATTCGTGCGTATTTTTGTTTTTTCAATAAATCTGATCAATGATATAAGATATATCTATAAATATATTGTATGAGAAATATTTTATCTATTATTAGTTTTAATATTTATTATTATTATTATTATTATTAGTTGATTAGTGTTCACATCTGAACCAAATTCTCCAAGGCGAATGACCTTTAAACTTGAGTCAGAGTTCATTGGCCGGAACCCAGAGACATAAAGAGATATTTGCAAAGGGTTATAAGTACAAGAAGCTCATAAAATTGAACAAAGCCGAAGGAATGACATAAATATGACACGCATAAAAAATTTCAGATTCAAGTTTACGAATATTACTTTGAGAAATAAATTTATTATTATTCAAATTTATTATTCTCTCAAATTAAACAAATAAGAGAATTTTAATATAATAAGTAGTATATGAATAATATATGTATTAGAACATATATATCATATAGAATCTTTTTCTTGGAAAAATATATTTATTTCAGTATTATTTTTTAAAAAAAGATATGAATATATTGATAAAAATTAGACACCTTATATATCATCGATAGCTTCTGTTTATACACGAATAAAGGTGGTGAGCCTTGCACGTGAGAAAGTCAAATCGAGGACGAAGACGATTGAAATGAGGAAAAGTAACGGAGCGAATAACGGGTTGATTTTAACGCATCTTGCCGTTACGAACGCGTTTATAAGCCTAGTTGTTAGGTCATAGTAGATCATGTAATTTTACGATCGAATGCATGTTAATAATATGCTATAATTATATGTTAATAATATATTTACATATTAATCTTAATGTTTATATTTATTTTCGTTTTATAAGAGAATGCATACTTTTGTAGATAAGAATATTAATCTATTTAATATTATTTTAATTTTTATTCAATATAGTTTAGAAATCTTATTTAACAATAATTATCGATAACGGTAACATATTTAAGAATCCTTACATTAAACATGTCTATGCTAGAAAAAATGAAATAATCATCAAGTTTACGAAAACGTTTTATTTCAGGAAATTTGTGATGCTAATATTTATGTGAATAAATTGATGCAATAGGATTTCCAGAATTTTATTAGCCATCATATTTATTTATTTCCTTTGAAACAAAATTTAATAAATAATTTGTTGAATATAATATAATTGAACAGTTATTCATATGATGAAAAAGTAAATGCAGCAATAATTAAAGCTATTAAATAAAATTATATATTATTAGAATTTGAGGAAATAATAAAAAGTTTAAAAATTAGAAATAAAAAATTTGAATGTTATAAATATTAATATTTTATGTGTATATATATATATATTGCCATTTTGCGATAGATCATATCGATCGCTCGAATATTATCGAGGAGTATAGTTACTTACCCGCCAAACTTCGGAACGTTCGTTCGCGCAAGTGCAATTCGCGGTGGGAGATCTCTTGTATCATCTGGGGGGGTTTAAAGTAGTGGGGAATCTTCGAAAGAGCGGATTAAACGCGAAGCAGCTAGACTATCACCGCGTATATACCAGTACTATTGGCATGTTCCGACAAATACGCGTTTTGAGCTCATATGAGCATTATGTATTAATTAAACGTTTTATTTGCGATGATTTGCGAGTGTACCGCCAGAGCACGCGATTAATTAAATGGCTTACATAACTTGCGCGGTAACATTAATTATTTCGAATAAATCGTATATATTTTATTTTTTATATCGTGAGTATTATTTCAATAAATCCAAATTGGTGACAATCTTTAATAACCACGTGAATACGATCAGTGAAAGTCACCCTTATTGGAGCACTCTTTCGTTTCTTCTTATGAATACGAAATAGAGTTGCCGGTTCTTGGCTCGCTCAATCGGCACTTATGTGTTTTTTAATTTTTTGTTAAAATCGACAATAAAAACCATGTGCAGTGCTGAATAATAATTAAATATCAAAGTTATTTCTAAAAGTAATTCAACAAGAACGAATTTTAATTAAATGTGTTGCATATGAATTTAAACGTGGCGGTGACCTAGAAACAATTCAAAGTAGTAACTTTATCATTAGAGTAGACAAATCTCGCAACGGTGCCAAGAAAAAATCAAGTGGGGGATTAAGAAATGCGATCATTGTTCGTTCAGATTGTTGTGTGACAATGAGTTACGTTTGGACTATGATTATGAAATTCGCGCCACGAAACAAAATTTCTTTTTGAATTATCATGAATATATTTATTTTGTATTTCAACAAATTATATTCGTCTATAAAATTTCTAAAGTTTCAATTAAAATGAAAAAAAAAATTGAAAAAAGAATTTGATAATATAACAAAAATACGAAAAATAACAAAGAGAAAATCACACGCGGTAACGATTGTTATCGGCAATAATAGACAAGAGTCGTTATTGAATTATTTGGTGAAATTTCATTTCTGCGATTGTTCTAGTTCGTGCTCAAAGACGTGCCAATGGTTAAGCATTCCATCTATAAAACGCGTAGTTCACGTTTGCTGTGGAGTTGACGCACTGCCCGCGATCGTTGCATGATATCTCATGTTTTTTGGAACACGCGGTCGTGTATGTGTTCCAGTCTCGCGTCTCGTGCACGAATTTTACGGTGACCTTTAACGGACATATATTGAATCAAGCGTGTGCCAAAAGTGCGGTGAAGTAAAAACGAAGTGTTGTGGCTTATCACACGTGAAGATGGAGGATACAGAAGCCAAAATCATACCGGGAATCAGCATGTCCGTACTCATACTCATGAGCACGCTGTTTCTTGGCGGTGTGGTCCTTGTAATCGGTTACATTGTTAGCCGGTTGTCACAGTCCAATAAATCTTCAGATTCAACGAAAAGTAAGCACTGCTATAAATAAATTTTACTAGAAATAATCTCCTACAACTCCTGGAAGAAAATCACGCTTGCGTGTTCGCGAATCCTACACCGCTGAGTACGATTCTCTTTTCTTTTCGTGTTTTCACTTGCAGACTGAGATAAAAGAAATTTCATGAGATGAAGCAAAATGCTAAATAAATATATTAAATGAAACAAGTTCTGTCGACATATCTAAATTTCATAAACAAGAAAAATTCCTCTCATTTTGTCTTATCTATATTTACGCGAGAACTTATATTGATAAATGTTTTTTCCTATAATCAGTCTATATTCTTAACGATTTTAATCGTTGGTTATAAACGAATTATATGTATTCTAATTATTATTACGCATGGAATACATTTAAATATGCTTATGCTTTTAAAAGAAAATTTGCAACGAAAATATGAGTTATTCAAAATAAATTGATTGAAATAGAATACAATATAATAGTGGTAATGATACGCGTGTTGCAGACACATTTTATAATATAAAATACAATTTGATCTGTTCCCATATTAACGCGAAGAATTGGCGGGAAATTACAGTTTTGGGAAGAATAAGAGTTTTGTCGACTGTTTGTTATTTATGAATTGTTATATATAAACGACTTCCGTGTGAACATAACTATAATATTAATAATGATATTATATTTGGAAGAATATTTCATTTCATCGCAATAATTTAAATGTTTTATATTTCAGTTTCGTCATAATTATATTATTACTATATATTTTATCTTATATATATATATTGGCCTAATTTAATGAATAAATTATTTACTTAATGGGATAATAAACTATTTAACTGAAAAGATTTGTATCTATGAAGCTGGGAAAATTAATATATCATTTTGTTACAAATTTAGTATAAAATTTTGATAAATTTTTAATTATTTTCTTTTATCAAAATAAGAATAATGTAGCGCATTGTTTTTTCGTAAAAATTGAATTAGACAAATTAAATAATGGGGTTACAATATACGGTGTGGGGTGAATCAAAGAAGACAAAGAGAGAAGTGCAGCTGCGTCGCACGCAATATTTCGTGCTGGGATACGCTTCAATATACTTCATGAACTAAACTATATGTATTAGACCGTTTCTATATTTCGAAATATTTAGAAGTATCTTTTTTAGAGGTTAAGTTCAACGATACTGTCTTTTTTTTTGTTTTCTCTTTTTTACTTACTTTTGATTTATATACTGTTTATTGCGAAGTAATTAATTAATAATTATTTTATCAAAATTTGTTTATAGTAATTTTTATAAAAGTTTTTATTTATTTGATTAATTAAACGATTAATTAAATTTACAATATAATCATTAAAAAGCAAAATTAATAATATTTACGCAACGTTAAAAGTAAAACAACGTAAAAGTGGAACTTGAATCGTACATTTTCAAAGACTCCCAATTTTCGCGGCATAGAAGATGTAATTATTAAAGCGATAGGGTTAATCAGAAGTCGAGTCATAGGCAAACATGTGCGATTATTTCATGCACTAGAACTAAATCTTCATCGCCATGACAATGAATGTATCATAGGAAAGAAACAGAATGTGGTAGTTTTCTCTGTTACCCGAGTAAGAACGAGGAGTAAGAGCCACGCAACGGGCACCCTTGTGTATAAATAAACCGACATCGCGCCTGTATATTTATACGCGCGTCTCGCGTGCGTACACGTGTACTTACGAGGAGAAACGCTCAGGGCCGTATGGACGAATACGCTTGACGAATGAACAATTGAGATTAACCTGTTGGGATTTTTTTTCGAGGACTTTTTATTTATGGCAGCCGGAAGCATCTATTAAACACGTTTCTGTCGTTCATCCTTAAATTTTGACCCTGAAAATGACTCGATCGATAAAGAACATTATTGAGTTTAAAGTTACGTAGATTTTTTTATTCGATATATTTCGTTAATAATTATTTAGATGTTATTGATGGCATAAAGCTTAAATAAATTTTTTAGATCGATCATAAAATTATTCAAAAATTTTTTACATAATTTTTATAAGTTAATTTAATTTTTAAATAAATTTAATAGTAGTTAATAAAAAATGATATATTAAGATAAGATTATAAATAATTAAACGCAAATTATAAATCGTTTTACATGTTGGAAACAATCATAAAATTGATATCAGAGTAAAAAAATTTGCAACACGCGATTTCTGTCCCGTTGTAGCGGAGAACATAAATTTGTCGCAGTGCGCTACATTTTCCGGGCCAGTGCGGCAAAACACGTCCCTGAAAACTCGCAGCACGCGTTACGAGTAGTGCACTGACCGCAGGTAACTATTTCTATTTGCCGATCGGTTTTGCTTTCTCCGTTAAATAAAAAGAGAATACCATGCACATATAATGTATGTATATATTGTGCAATTAATTTAATAAGATGCTTGTTCGATGGAAACATTATTTAAATAAAAATTACATATTTTGAAAGAAAAATATATATATATATATATAAATTGTAAGGATTAAAAAAAAAATGACGAATCGCTTATTTACATATTTATATATAATGCAACAATATGCTACAAATCATCATAGATTTGTACATAATTGCAAAATCATTGTTTTTGAGTATTTCTTTTAAAAATATAAGACTATTATTGCGATATACTGATAATATAATTCATAATTAAGAATCGGTTGAAATTTTTTATGTAAAAAATATATTCATATGTGTCATATTTCGGTATGTAAAACGTTTTACGTAAAATGCAATTATATATTAATTTATAATAGATATGCATAATTTACTTTTGTTCCGAGTCATTTAATTGTAGAATGCATCTTGATAATTTTTGATCAATCAAAAAAATTATCTCGTTTTTTCATTCATAGTTCGAAAATTTTTCGAGTGAGGAATGAATAATTTAATCATCGTGAGCGATGAAGTTCATTTTTTGCATAATTAGTTTGCAACACTGTGTATTTAAATATTCAGATATCTATTTTTAAATTACATCACAGATTATCATCATTATTTTTTCGATAGAAGCTTTAATATTATCTACAATTTATTCAATTATTAATATTCATAGGAATCATCGAAAATACAATTTTTTAATTTCCATTTTTTTCATATTTTAGTCAATTATTTTAGTCAAATTATTAAATTACGGACGAATTATGAAAATTCCCAAATTTTAAAATAACCATTAAAACTAATAATAAAACTATTGGTCCGTAATGTATTAAAATCATTATTAAAATGATAACATGAACATATATAATTATATTTTAATTAATTTTCCTAAATAATATTTATATATAATGTTATAAATATAAAATATTTTTAATATTTCAATCAATATCTTTAATTTAATTTAATTTATTATTTCTATAAGAAAAAAAAATTAATAAATTGCTATCTATCACATCATTTTCTTATATTTCATTCTAATCTCCTTATTTTTCTTACTCTCGTTCTATGGCTTTAAAGTGAGTCAAGTATATAATTCTAGTATAAAAATCTATATTTTTAAATCATCGTTAAATAATCCAATCGATTTGGATTTATTTAAGATTTAAAAATTTGTGTTCTTTATTTAATAATTCTCTTTCTATGCAATAATTATATTCCCTTCTTGTTACTACGCATATATATTTTTTCATGGATATATGTATTATCGAGTTATTGTAATAATTGTCGTTTAAAAAGTCAAGATAACTTATCATACGTATGTTTAGAATAACCAAGGTAGCCGGTGACTGTTTTGGTTCTCGCAAATGAGCCAGAGAACTATTATAATATTGATCGATACAATCGATATTTTAATGGAAATGTGCTATGATTAGCTATCCAAAGTTTGGTTTGGTGATCTATCAGTAATTTGAAGATTGATTCATAATAAACATCTGGTATGTAAGTGCATGCGGAAAAAGAAAAATTCTAATCTGTATTAATTTTTTTTAGTTTTTAAAAATTAATTTAATAATTTTAATGAATGAAAAAATTTTACGATAAATAACCTACGTTATTTTGTACATATGGAAAAAGGAATTAAAATTTATTAGAATTAATGAAAAAATTAATTAATGTAAATTCTCATAAGATTAAGTATAAGGATAATTATAAGGAAACGAAATGTGATGGATGTTCATGTTATCAATTCCTATTATATTGTTAATTTTTTTTTATACAACTCATTTATGTGTAAAGTAGAAGATACGGAAGATTTTATTTTTTTTATATACATAATGTATTATATATCTTTATAAATATAGATTAGTATAATTTTTTTATGTTATACGAATATAATTTATTAAAATAATTTTAAGAAATTATATAACGATTTAAGTTTATTAAAATATATCTTTTATATAAAAATTGCATATAAAAATTTGTCTTTCATCTTTCCATCTTTCTTCTACTTTCTTCTATCATTTATGGAAAAAGAAAAATTAGAAGCTAATAACATGAACATCCAATAAGGGAAGATTCCGTTTTAATGCGCCATCGAATTAAATTCCCTCTTTGTGTAACAGCGATACGAGATAGGATTTTAGTAAAGTATTTTTCTTCGTTCAACAGAGACGAAGGGAAATATCACGATGGATAACAGAAGGATAGGTTGTAACGTTTTTATTAACTCACAAATAAAGTAAAGCGGTAAGTGCTACGCAGCAATGAGCAATTATGCTATAGTTGTTCGAGGTACAATGATATCTCCGTAAATGCATTCCGTCGAACCCCGAAACAGTTATATACTTATACACGTATGTGCGCACACATATAAGTTGTGTTGCATTGCGCATGACCGCACGTGGATATCTATCGTGTTATATTGTTTTCATAAATCTAGGTTGAGGTTAGCTAGGCTAAGGTTCCGTTTCTTCTTTTTTTTTTCTTTTTTTAAATATCAGGAAATTAAAACGCATTCCACGTACGATATATATATATATATGTATATAGCGATAAATGTAGAAAACTTTTTGTTTTAATCTAGCATGAAAAATCAATTTTATA